ACTTGCAAAAGGCATCGTCCACTGCCTCAAGTCTTCATAATTTAATAAAACAAAGCCTCTTCGTCTTGAATTTCTCCCAACAAAGACTTAAACCCACCTCTATAACCGAATATTTCGGTTACAATATAATAAATATATAATAAAATTGTTAATAAATTTTGACTAATAAAAATTAACTAATAAAATATATATAATCTAAATAAATTTGACTAATAAATTTGCTAATATAACAGTATGATATATTACACAAAGTGTATTTGCTAATATGTTTTCTCCCTTAGATTCAAGTCTATTGTAGCTAAAATCTAAAAAGCTAGTGTGGTGTTTCTGCAATATACTATTTTCCTTTTTTGAATTCAAGAAATCAGTTAATACTTTCGAAAAGTGCAGCTGCTAACACTTTCTAATTAAGTTAGTATAAAATTCTTATAAAATGCATTATATTCACAAGAAGTATAATAAAAAAAGAACATACCTATTAAACACATGTAATTTATGCCCAAAGTTTTATATAAATATAGATTTCAAAGTCTTGATATATGAAACTTGCTGGCACAAAGAATACTACTATATATAATTATTATTATACTATAATATTATAATAAAAAAAGTAGTAATACTGTAATAAAAGCGTAGAAATTTAGTAAGCCAAGAGCTATAAGCTTAAAAATTACCTTTTTTCGAGTCTCATTTACTTTACTAAAAAAAATGATTATGACTGATTTTCTGTTGATTATAAAACCTTGGATTTTCTATTTTTTATGTATACAATTATTAATTATTGTTAGATATTGTTAAAATCAAAAATTTTTTGGTTAAAAAGTATGACTAATAGCTAATAAAATTTTACTGATTATTCTAGAATTGATCTTCAGTATTCTGAAACGCAATCTGTTACACAAAATATGATCTGCCAAATTTGGAAAAATTCCAAACTGTAGTAAATAATATATAATTAATTATATTTACTGTATTTCTCTAAAAATAAGCACCCCTTTTTTGCTATAAGCTTGCTTATTTTTAGGTACTTCAGTAAAACAAAAAAATACTTATGCAAAATCAATTTTTGCTTGTCTTTGTTTGTATATAAAATTGATCATAATCATTATATGATCATTCTCTGTGATTTCTTTTGTCATGATAATCATTTGATTGTTGTCTTTGCATTATCTCTGTTATCTCTTGTGACCAAGATCTTGAACAAACTTACTAGAAATTGATCACTGTTATGTATTTAAACTTAAAACAAAAAAAATAAAAAATTTTATGATCAAACCTTAACCTTGAAATTTAATGAAGAGGAAGAAACAATTTGTGTGATCACAAGCATCAATTTTAAAGTTTTTCAAGAAAAAAAAAAAAGTTGTGTTGATGCTATAAATATGAGACAACCTACTCAAAAATTAAGCCAAAGAAGTATCTTCAAGCCAAGCTAAAGAAGTATCTTCAAGCCAGGCCAAAGAAATATTTGTAAGCCAGTTCAAAGAAATGTTCTTAAACCAAGTCAAGGCAATATTCTCAAGCCAAGTCAAGAAAGCGACCACAAGTTAAGTAAAAAAATAATTTAAATTCAAGCTGAGAAGATATTCTCAAGCATATAAGCCTGCTGCTTGTTCGTAATAA